GGATGGATGGATGGATGGATGGATGGATGGATGGATGGATGGATGGACGGATAGACAGGCAGATAGATATTCAACATATTCTTCTATAACCAGGAAAACAAGAGAAAAGGAAAAAGAAAGAAAGATAAATTGTACAATAAGATTAATGATAGGTAAGGAACTTAAGGACAAAGATAGAGAATGGACCTGGAATTTCATTTCCTGGGTCTGAGAACTCCCAGATTATGAAAGAGATTCCATCAATGTAAGTCAGCACCTTCTCTATAACTTGTATTGTTAAAGAGTTGACTTTTGGAGAGACTTTAGAGGTAAATTAATCAATCAACATTCATTTATTGAGGGCCTATTGTGTACCAGGTACTAGGTACTAAAGTACAGGTACTAGGTACTGGGGCAAAAGACAAGATTTTAATATTCCTAGCTTTCATGGAATTTATATCCTCTCTGGGGAGACATGTTCATAGAAAAGTAAATACAAAATATATGCAATGTTACTACAAAGTAATTGGGAGGAGGTATTAGTGTCTGGGAGGTGAGTAAAGCCCTAATGTAGGAGGTGATGCTCCAACTAAGTTTTGAAGAAAGGTAGAGATTCTATGAAGCAGAATCAGGAGGGAATTCATTGCAGGTATGGGGCATAGCAGTCATGCAAAATCAGAGAGACAGGAGATGAAATGGCTTATAAGAGGAATACCAAACAGGTCTGTTTGACTAGAATAAAGAATTGTGTGGAGGGGAGTGGTGTGTGATATACCTGGACAAATAGGCTAGAACCAGTTTGCCAAGAGCTCTAAATGATAAATCAAGAAGCTTATATTTTGTCCTTGAGACAATAGGGGGTACTGGAGCTTATTGAGTGGATGAGTGATGACTTAGAAGTATCACTTTGCCAGCTAGGAGGAGGATGGATTAGAAAGGGAAGAGATGAGGTAGCCAGCCCATCAGGGAGTTATTTCAATAGTCCATCTGGGATAAGGGCCTAAAATAAGGGTTACCAAGAGTTGAAAGAAGGGGATTCATGAGAGAGAGGTCTTGGAAGTGGAATTACAAAATTTGATAATTGAGATCATCTAATCCAACTTTTACTTCACAAATGAGGAAACTGAGACCCAGATGTGGCCTGCCACATGTGTATCAGAACCAACTCCATCTCCACTGCTCTTTCATAGTGGTGATAAACATACTCCCCTCTCCCTATTTCAAAAGATTGATCATCTCTCTCTTGGCCAGACTTGTCATTGGCACAGGGAAAGAAACAAATACAGGTGGGTAGAAAACATACTGGGGAGAAGAGAGCTGAGAATTTGAAATCTGTTACTACAAGGAGTTAAAAGGGAATTGAGAATAACTAAAATACACAAATAAAAAAAGGCATCTAAGTTCCTTATCTAACGCTGGAGGAAAATGTATATTTGGCGAGCTACCAGTAACATTAAATTCTCTTTCCACTAAGATCAGACAGTGTTGGCTGGAACATCTTTCCTGTCTTTCTGCCAGACTAGTGATTGATTATACCCCCTCATTAACTAATCAATTTGTGAACCGAGCATGGACTGGATTCAATAGGCAAGGGAGGTATGGGCAAGAGAAGATGGCTACCATAATAGAAATGAAATTATTTGGGATAAGATGTGATTTCATTGTAAGCTCTGCTTTTGTTGGCATTCCTACAGGTTTCTTGGCTCCCCTACTCCTGCTCCACAAGATGGGTGCTTCATTTCTTTTAGGACTGAAAAAGCAGACAACAGAACCACATTAGCTCTGAACTAAAAAGATTCAGCAAGTATTTGTTAAAAGGCTACCTTAGAGGAAAGACTTGTAACTGGAGTCAGGAGACTGAGTCTCCTGGGTTCAAGCCTCAATTCCACCACTTACTGCCTAAGACTTTGGGTGAGGCATCCAACTTCTCTGAGCTTCAATTTACTTTCCAGAAAAAAAAAAATTGGATAATATGCTTGTACTACCTATCTTCTTAGAATTATTTGAGCAAAAGTAAGGGTGTAGTACCATGGAAAGAGTAATGAAATTGGAGACCTGAGCTCAAATGTTGGCTTTGGCATTACCCCAAGTAATTTTGGGCAAGTCATTGTATGCAAATCTCTAGACCTCAATCTCCTCATATGTAAAATGAGAGAGTGAAACTACATAACTTTGAAATTTCTTTCCATATTTAAGTCCAAGACCCAACAGCATTCAAACCTTAAAGAACTGTGTAAATGAAAGTTGTTGTTTATTATTTTTTCTCATTCTTCTCATCATATATTGAAAATGGGAACACCACTAATCACCAGCACTCTTATCATTGTCCCATAGTGCCTCACTTTTCTCCAGACAACTCTGAGAGTCATAAAAGTCTATTAACTGCTAGTGTCAAATAAGAAAACCAATGCAGCATCCTTTAAAGGTAATCATACAACCTCAATTTGAGTATTTCATTGATAAGACATTCTGTATTTCCCAAGAGAGCTCCTTTCATCATTATAAACCTCTAATTACCAGGAAGTTCTTAGGTTTGGCCAAAAGCTACCATTTTGTCATTTTCACCCTTTGGTTTTGGTTATGCCTTCCAGAACATTCCAGAACAAGTGTAGTCAGTTTTCTACATGACAATATTTCCTATGTAAGAAGACAGCAGTCATACTCCTTGCTCTTCAAGTTTTGTTTTCTTCAGGTTACATAACTTTAGTTTCTTTACCTATTCCTATAGAACATGGATTCTTGACATTTGTTTCCTCAATTCTAGTTAACTAATAACTTAAAATATATCAACCTATATTGAATACATGCTATCTGTCCAGAGCAAATAAGGGGGAGATACCATAATTGTATTAACATAATTTTATTGGGGGAGAGGATGGAAGGTCCAGACCAGTTGTCACATTGAGGCAGGGAACTCCTAGTGAAGAAACTCACTCTACCAGTACAGATTGGTTACTATTAGAAGAGGGGGAGTAAGAAAAAGGAAAATCTGGGCTCAAGTGTATCCTCTGATGCAAGATGTGGGACCCTGGACAAGTAAGTCATTTCATTTCACAACGCGCCCACGTCCTTAAGAAAGCATTCACTCGTGCTCACTTTGGCATCAGATATACTAAAATTGACATGATACAGAAAAAGATTAATATGGCCCCTATGCACAGATGACATGCAAAGTTCATTAAATATTCTATATCTTAGAGTAACTTTTTCTGTTTTTTGTCAAAAAAGAAACCATTAATTTTTTAAAATTAACATTAACAATTTATGTTAAACTGTGATCAACTTGAGAGTCTATATATTTCTACATAAATTGATATCAAGCAGAATTTCCCCCTGTTCTGTACTTTGTATAATTGTTGTACATTTTAAAAAATTAAAAACAAGACTTTGCATTTATTCCTGCTAAGCTTCATAATTTTGGATTGAGCCCAGCTTTCTATCTTGTCAAGATAATTTTGAATCTTGATTTAGTCATCTAGCTCTCTATGCTTAATTTCATCTGCAAATTTGATGAGCCTGTCTTCCACATCTTCCCACTAGTGATACTAAAATGTTGAAAAGGACAAGGGAATAACCTTGTTATAGTGCAAACTCATGCAATAAGCATTTATTAGCACCTACTGTGTGCAAGTTACCACACCAAGTGCTTGAGACACAAAAACAAAATTAAAAATAGTCTGCTCTGAAAGAACTTATTTATATTCTAAAAGCTACCTCCACGATGACTTTGAGCCATTATCTAATGTCTTTCCCATATTCAACCATTTATAGAGCCACCTAGTGCCACTATCAACCAGTCCATATTTCACCATTTTTTCAACTTGAATATTCTGGATACTTCAGAGAATGCATTGCTGAAATAAAGATGTAATGTATCTAATTGTATTTTGCTTACATATCAACCTTGTAATTGTATTTTTTAGAAACGAAATTAGTTTAATTTAACATGTTTTTTTTCTTTGTGATACTGTCTCCTAGGCATCACCACATACTTTGCTAATTTTTCTTCAATTTTCTGTTTAATAATTCATCCTTAATTTTTCAAGGATCAGCATCAAGCTTAGTACTCTCTAATTCTCAGGGATCTGGCTTAAAAAGCAACAATAGAATATCTGCTTGTCTTCCACCTAAAGATGAATAGTATTAGCATATCCTTTGATATATATTTAGTTTCAGGATCCAAACTCAGTTTGGTTCCTGGTTCTAAATGTAGCATTCTTTTTATTGCACCATGAGGTAAGCCTGGGAGTATGTCTTTCTCTAAAACATTTGATGCAGTGGGAATATTACTTATATTTGTGGACATTAGCCAAGTCATGGAGTAAGCAATTTAATCTCTGTCCCTCATGGTGACAAGAAAACACAATAGATCTGAAAAAATCAGATAAGAAGCAATGGTTTCAGCACTCATAAATTATTAGGATTGTTGATCATGAATAAGAAGGAGTTATGTTTTTGACCTGCTGCCTCATTTTGTATGGTTATAAAGATAATAAACTTGAGTAGAATGTGTAAAGGACATTTATGGTGTTGGCAAATCACAACTGAACCAACTAAATACCTGATCACTAATTGCATGTCATGTCATCATTTTTCATGACTCAACAGAATATTTCCTCCATTTCCTATGTTGCTTCAGCAAGGTGTCAAGCAGATGATAGGGAGAAGGATAGAAATTAGACTTGTGATTTCATCGGGGCAGAGGAACTTCCAGGTAAGGAGATTATATTTACCAATTCAGGTGTACACATCTGAAACTTATAGTCGGAGATTTGCCTAGATGACTAAGAGGTTAAATAACTTGCTTTATTGTTGTTCAGTCATTTTCTGTCATGTCCAGCTCTTTGTGACCCCATTTGGGGTTTTCTTGCCAAAGAGACTGGAATGGTTTGCCATTTCCTTCTTCTGCTCATTTTACAGATGAGGAAACTGAGCAAAACAGGATTAAGTGACTTGCCCAGGGTCACACAGCTAGTAAGTGTCTAAGGCTAGATTTTAATTCAGGAAGATGAGTCTTTCTGACTCCAGGTCCAGCGCTTAGTCACTAACTGGCTAGGGAGTCTCAAATGCAACACTTTAATTCAGGACTGGCTATCTTCAAAACTACTACTCTCTGCCTGCTATGCCATGCTACAGATGATGAAATCCACCAATAATTCACATGAATGGATTACCTTAACAACACAAGATTTAAACAACTAGAAAAACACATTGGGTCAGATAATTAAGACAATTAAGGGCTGATGGACTTCTATTCAGCATATCTTGAAATGCCCAAAGAAAGGGGGAATTTTTCCACTGGCCATGGCCTACCCACATTAATCATAAAATTTTGGAACCAGTCAAGATCTTGTAGATGTTGTCCAATCCAATGGGTTCATTTTGTTAAGGAGTACCATAGTAGTTAAATCACTAATAAGATATAAGCTCATTAAATATAGCACCTGTTTCCCTTTTTTGTTGTATCCCCAATGATTAACACGGTGCCTGACACATAATAAGCACTTAGCACATATTCGTTCATTTATTAATTGATTGGGGCACTTGCTTTCTTATTAGGCTTTACAGAGAGAGAGGGAAAATTTAAAAATAAAGAAAAATATGTTTAGTTCTGTAAAATCCCTGCTGTTATTTTGCAATTAATCAATGTCTTCCCTTCATTTCAAAATAGACATGAACTGGGTTCCCTTAAATATGCACACAATATATTAACTACCTCCCTCCTCACCCTGTAGAACTCAATTACATGTTAAACCTGTGCCATCTCTGAGGAGTTCCAGAAGTCTCCTACCTGTCCTCGCAAGTAACACACACTTCAATTTATCCTCAGCTTACTTAAACCTGTAAGTTTCACCCCATGTTCCTTAGCTTTAGCATCCTGATACGCCATGAAGAAGTCTTTACTCACCCTGTCTAGACACTCCGTGATGTCAATGATTTCAATCACATCCCTTCTCAAGCTTTGTCTTAAGAGGCAGTGTGGTGTAGTGGATAGAGTGTTGGACTTGGTTCACATGCTCACCTGTTATGTGACCTGAGCATATTACTGACTGGCCTTAGTTACCTTACCCGTAAAATGAGGAGGCTAGACTCAATGACCTCTCAGTTCCCTTTGCAGCTCTACGTAAATGAACTTAGGATCTTTCCAGACCAAAGAAAGTTAATCACAAATACAAGTCCTTCCATCCATTCCTTCACTTCAGTGATTCTTTTCTGCATTGTCTCCAGCTCTGACATATTTTGTCTAAGTAAATGGCCCTCAAAATGAATAGACGTTCTAGTTACAGATGCCGACTTGGTTGCTACGCTAGCACCTTCTATGCCTTATATAGCAAAGTGAATTGGACTGCAATTCCACCATTCTCCACAAGATGGAGGCCTTATCGCCATGAATGGTACTTCAGTTTGTGCATAAGAAGTCTTAGAATTCTCCCCTTTAAAGCTTTTTGGTCAAGTTATTGTCATCTTACCAGTACATAAGTCATTAGCTAAAGGTCTTCCCTCTGCACTACCTGTAGCTAGGGCCTTTAAAGCATCTAGGATAGAGGAAAAACAGAGTGAATAGAAGATTTTTATATATTCCTTTCTTACACCTTTGTATTTTTGTCTAGCCTCATTGGCTAATTGTTGCTCTTAATATATGATGCTACATCTCCCAATTCCATGGTTTCTTTTTTTAACTTTAAAACACATTTTTATTTTAGGAATCATCACAATACTCACAAACATTTGAAAAATAGTGATGTGTATTTGTTTCCATCTTCCTGAGTTCAAATCTGGCCTCAGACACTTATTAGTTGTGTGACCCTGGGCAAGTCACTTAACTCTATTCTCTCAGTTTCCTCACTCATAAGATGAGCTGGAGAAGGAAATGGCAAACCACTATAGTAATTTTGCCAAGAAAACCCCAAATGGGGTCACAAAGAATGGGATACGAATGAAAAAGACTGAACAAAAATTCATGTAAATGTCATCTCCTCCATTAGAATTTAAGGGAAGAGACTGCTTGGGCTTTTTCTTTGGATCCCTACCCCTTAGTACAGCGCCTGGCACATTATAAGCATTTAATAATTGTTTGTTGATGGATCAATTGTTTGATTAATTGTTCTCACTTTAAAAGATTATAACATGATCTGAACAAAACCTAGTTGATTTAGGGGAATTGAACTTGGAATATTGCCTAGGTAATGAAGTTCAATGTTGCCTCCTTACTGTTTTTGTTGTTATTAGTTTTGTTTGTGATAGTTTGCCAGAAATACAGAAAAGAAAAATGTATCTTTAAAGGAATACATACATATATACATGTATGTAAGTATTTGTGTGTATATGTATATACATTCCTATATACATATAAATATATATATACCAATATGTGCGTGCGTGTGTGTGTGTGTGTGTATTCTATTTTGTGGGGGGGAAAGTGAGGGCTGTCTGCCAAGCTTATCAGTGAAGTGACAGGGAAGACAGAGAAGAAATATCTCTAGACTGACTAAGTCCAATTGAAACAAATATTCTATCTCTGAACTAGTTAGACTAAGGAAAGTTGGAGGAGGGAGAGGGGTTTATCTGCTATAAAAGGTATTTTTAGGAGTGCCAACTAATGACATGTACAATAGAACAGATTATAAGCTGTAGACATAGTTCTGACAGGATAGAACTATAGATAAATCTGGGAAGTGGCTCTCAGGAAAATGACTCTAACAGATGAGGTTAAAAGATCAGTTATCAGATCTCAGAATTGTACAAGTTAGCTGGTCTAGTCTAAATTTGAAGTAAAATTACCATCCGTGACAGGCCAGCAAATGGTTGTCCAACTTTAACTTAAATATGTCTAAAGATGGAGAGCTCCCAACCAGTAGACAGCCCAAGGCATTTTTAGATTGCCCTCCTTGTTAAGGAGTTGTATTCTTATGCTGGATCAGGATCCCTCACTCACTCACAAGAGGAAGAGAAAATATGTAGAAAGAGGCAGCTAGAGCGAATAATGATGATGCATTGAGCACCAGTTATTATGCTATTTACCAGCTATTATAGCTATAGCTGGTATATAGCACCAGCTATTATGCTATTATGTGTTTACCCCTACCCACTCACCTTACGTTGATGTACCTGTAAAAGGCTCCACCTCTCCCATCTATCCACACACAGAATCCCATAGTCTTTTAACATCTGTGGGTATACAGAACCAAAAGGTTGC